ATGATAGATAGTTCATTCAACGCAGAAGGACTTTTTACATAATTTGCAAACTATAAATCACTAGTAACAGAGGTTTGTGAAGAAAGTTATAAGACACATAAGAAATTGGTGTGAACTTTGAATTTTACAATTACATGCGTAAAAAACACCTTGTATCAAATTTTGGGCCTGTACAGAGTTTCTAATTTGGAGAATTACCTTCTTTGGAATCATACTTGGCAACTTTGCCTGCTTGTGCGTACCACAAATTATCAATACAAAGGCGCTTAAAAGGGCACGAGAGGTCTGGGCTATAGATAGAATTGGTCCAGTTGTCCGAAAGAGTCTTTGCGCGCTCTGCATGGTACACATGGATATAAACGAAATAAGTTGATATGATAGCTCTTGAACATGTTTTGCTAACCAATCAAAAACCAAGGAGTTGGGCGTATGGAGAATGTCAGCCCTGGGTACATATGTATGTACCCAAAGACTAACTTGTAACATAGATAACCACCTTATAAACAACTAATTACATGTACATAGGCCTTAAAAAACATATGTAACGTGTAATAAATCATACATACATCCTAATTACATATACATATACATTTAAAATCATATGTAATATGTAATAAAACACTAATTGCACCTCATAACTCAGTGTCAAGAGTTAAAATGCTTATACTACATAAATTACATAACATGTATATGTAATTATGTAGTATTAATAATAATCATAACTAACAGTAATAATTAAACCCTAAACCACTGTAGTGATACAAACAAATATCACTACAGTTAGGTTTTGAGAGGAGAGTATATAAACTCCTCCTCTCTCAGCCTTCAGAGAAAAACCCAAGCTATAATTACCCACTACTTTTAAAGAACAATTAAAGTTCAATTGAAGTACATATCAAGAGTCTTATATATAAATAAGACTAGTGATAAGCTTCATCAACTTTAATCAGCTTCCTGATTAAAAGTAGGTAATACATTCTTCATTCCCCTCTGGATCCTCTACTTCCCCCAAGTAGAAATCATATTAGGTTGGTGACCTCAAATCAACCCAAGGCTAGTGACCTACATACAAGCACTTTGGTTGGTGACCATAAGAACAACCCACGGTTGGTGACCATAAGAATAACCAGTGTGGTGATCTAGACCTCACTCTTCAACCTGTCAATTAGAAGTTTGAAGGAAAACCTTGGATCCAGTTTTCATTTATAATTAATTATAATTATATTTAAAAATCTCCTTTTAAGGAGTCATTTAACTGTAGTCTGTCTGGATTTATCCAAACAGACCAGTCCCCCTTCCCCTTTCTCTATCTTTTATATATTTCTTTTGTAATTACCTTATAATTGAAATATAAAAAGTAGATATTCAAACAATAACCAATATCTAGTACCCACTTAGTGAGCATTGAGTCCTCTTTAGAGCACCCAACCCTCACAGAGAAGGTGGATCCTGTTTGTCCGGTACACTGGATGGTGCCTCTTTGTCTGGTAGACCAGATGAGTCCTCCCCCTCCACTATACTTGTAGATGAATCTTCCCAGTCCAAACTAGATGAATCCTCCCCTTGCAACAGACTCCAAAAATCACTCAGGATTTGTGTGATGATTTCATACGGCAGAGCACCGTTTTCAGGCAATGGATTTGATGTATCAGTTCCTTTTGCCATCATTGCTTTTGATTCTGACAATCTGAAGTAAAGATTGTGTGTGTGTAGAAGCAAGGGGAAGGTTGAGAGAGGCAATGGCTGAGTGCAACAAAAAATGTGTGTGTTTAACTGAGCCCCAAGCCCCAAATGCCCCTTTGCGCGCATGAGCAAAACACTGGCCGGGTGCGCCCCTGGGCCATCCTTTGACAGCTGGAGGTAAAGTCTGTTGAAGACTAATTCTACAAATATGTAGCACTTTTAACTATTTTGACTTCAACCACTCCATCCAGGATACTAGTCTAGTTGCTCAGATGGACTGGCTTCCAGATGTATGAATGTATGAAGATATCAAAACTGGATACAACCACTGAGAACCCTGCTGCACCAAGTGTCAAGCCATGTTTACCCACAGAAAGGATGACAAACATGCTGTTTTTTGAACCAAATGCTTGTGAATGCTCTTCCTAGACTCTCCTATAGTGCATCTTGAAGAAAGAAGAATTCCAGGATAATCTGTCTTGCAAGGTACAAGCTCCCAAAGCATTTGGTCAAGAGGAGAGCAATCAGTCCACCGGTGTTGCTGGGTGTAACATCAGATGGATATATTGAAACAAAATATATCCAAGTTCTAATTTTATAATGTTTTATATTATTTTGTGCAAGCACATAACAATATGCAAATGTTACTCACAACCTTTTGTAATCCCATAACCTAACCATGATAGTTATTGCATAATCTACTATATCAAGTCTTTGTTTCTGAAAACTTGCTTTCTCTTATGCATCAATTAGAAATTTTTCATTCTATTAACACCTTACAACCGTAATTATAATTGATGAACATTTTAAAAAAATTGAATCATCACAGAAAATTGTAAATACAGCTACAGCAAAGATCACTAAACACGTAGAGACAAACAGTTTTGCTGTGATTATTTAAAAAGTTTTTCCAATACATTTGAAAAGATTTTTTTTGAGTGTTCATCAATTATTAATATGGCTGTATCATCATTAATTGATCTCCAGACAACCTTGTTGCTTTCCTCCTCTTTACTGATAGGTGTGATGCTTGGTTTTATCAGGATTCTGAGAATCCTTTAGAATTGCCCTCAACAACCCGGAACCTCAAAGATTTCTTCTAAACAGGTTGGGTGAATCTTGTATACTGCACCCTCACTGAGAGTACCATGGCAATATGGCAAGTTTGTGTCTATCAGTGTGCCCCTCTCCAAAACCCCACCTCACAACATGAATTCATGATGGAGTGTCTTTGTGTCTGAAAGATCATCATGCATATCTTTGAATATAAACCACATCCACTTCCCTGTATCCCGTTGATGTGTACACACAAATGCCTTGTGGTAGAACATTGATACATGTCTTGAATAGGTCTTCAGACTGCCCTTTTTAAAGAAGCCCATACAGTGGGACATTGATCAGACATAGGAGGTCTGATCATGTCTGTCCAAAATCATTTCACTTTACTTTCTGAAAATGGATGTGCCACATGTAGAGGCCTAGATTGCCTTATGCTAGAACATTGAAACATCCTCTGCCATCATCAACAAGCCTTATGCAGAAGATCTCATCAAATTTAAGCACATAAACTTCATACACTGGTCTCTTGCTTACTTTGTCATTTATTAAAGTTGTCAAGATCAATTTTTGTGTTACCCACTTATCATGAGACACATAGCACTACAAAATGCATAACATTCCAGTTAATGTTGCCCACATAACCACCTCATTACACTACAAAAAATCTGGTGCCATTTTCCACAAGTGTTGAGTTTGATTTGTACTCTCTTCAGATTTCATGAGATATTTAGTGCTGTCAAGATGCATAGAAAGGAACTTGCCCACTTATCCATTGGATTACAAAACAACAAATATATTATATACCTTGCATGTATCATCCACTTCCTTGTTTATCTTATTAATATCCTTTGAATACAAAGCTTTGTTTCCCCTTGCAATTCTCACCAGTTATCACAATCTATTTCTGATGTCCTTTATTTTTATATCAAACACTATACATGTAAAAGAATGCAAAACCGCATTGCTAGTGCCTTCAAATTGTAAACAGATGGAATTGCAAGTCAATGATATTTGAAATGATGAGTGGCTTTTAACAACACAATCTTGCTATCTAGATATTGGTTTTGAGCAAGCTATGGTGCTTTCAAAGGTCAATCACAATCATTTCAAATCAAAATATCTCAGCGTGTGTTTACAATGGCTAGACGTAGAGCTAATGGTTGAAAATTGAAGAAAGGCTGGGTCAACCCTTTTCTCCCTGATCTGACTGTTGAGGGAAGAGACTTTTCCTGCCAATTGACTCTCTACAAAGGGATATTCAGGCCTGTGTTGTGATCTACGGCTCAGAATACAAACAAAAAACATTTGGTCTTTATTCAAACCTCTCTGTGTGTGTATGTCAATGTGCTACAGGGGAACGGATACAGTGATACTGGTTTAACTGCGCCCCAAAGGGTTACACCAATGAGGTCCCATATTCTGAAAAGGAAATCATACCTCATAGTGAAAGGCTCATTTCATGGCAATGTATGTGTACAGAGATATGATCTGGAAGGATCAAAAAGGGAAAATGATATTCAAGTGTGACAACATTTAGTTCCTGGTGTTTGAGCCAAAAAATGTGTTCTTATGGGAAAAGAGACAAGAGCTATACCTTAGACTGTTGAACAGAGTCAGGAAGTGTGTTAATCAATCAGGTCAACTGAGGAATGCTTAAAGCTACAAATATAGAGACAAGGGTCAGATTACGGTGAATTGATAACATAATGTTATGGTGAGATGATGCTGATTGTATATAAGGAGTCGTAATAACCCACTCTTTGTGGGTTGGAGCATTCTGCAGTCATAGATGATACTGCCTAATGAACTTGACAAAGTTTCTCAAGAAAGCAGTTTAACCAAATTTGTGTTTATTCAAAGTTTCTTGATTTTTCACAAGGTGAAATTTGAGACAAATAATGTATAACGATTGGTTACATTCTACAAATCAAATATCAAGAGATGTGAATCTCAACCAATGGTCTATGTTCAACATTGTCAAAATGGCCAATGAAACAGAGCAATGCTTGAAATTGTAAAGAGAATCACATATATTCTACCTACAAGTGAAAACAATGAAAAAAAAGTGGATAAATGACAAGCCATGGTACTCATAAAACAAAAAATGTGGCAAATGACAGTAAGTAGAATGCAATTCTCAAAAAAAAATAGAAAATGAAGTATGAAGCGGTACCACATCAAATGAAACAGTCTTGGAGTATGAAGTGGAACAATTCATACTCAAATTAAGCACATCCAAAGGTAATCAACATGTGAAATTAGAGTGTAGGAAATTTAGCACTAGAAGACGAACGAGAAAGGCTATTGACTTTAGCTGAAAGGACTCTCATAGCATTTCCACGCATTCTATAAAATTGGTTAGAAGGAACATGTGGTGGAATTGGAGTCTTGATGTCAATTTCATCTGGTTCCATTGCATATGAGGTAGGAATTGCAGTGAATTCTTCTTCTGATGAGTCCAATTCACGAGATGAGAGTGAGAAGTCATCGGATGAAGGATTTGTTGAAGCGGAATCATAAGAACAGCTCGAAGATGAACGGTTTCCTCTGATTTTGTAGCCCGTGGATGAGGTAGAAACGCTACGGTTCGGAGGTTTAACGAGATCTCGGAGAAGAGAAGAATGTCCGAGTTTCGAAGGAATTGAAGGTGAGCAACGCTGCCGGGTGATGGGAGGGCGACCGGTTACTGATGGTGGTGGAAGTTGTTGAGAAGAAGAAGTCTTTGGTGATGACTTGAGACGTAGCACAGAGTCACTCTGGCATCTCTGACGCGTGTGATCAAATGAGGTATTTGGAACTATGCCGTGATTTGACGCCTCTGAAGAGCTGCGTGAAGAGATAGGCGAAGAACACGATGGCAGCATCTCGTCTTCATCCTGTATCTGAATCACGGGGATAGGAAAGGGGTGCATCGAATCTGGTTTGACAACTGGTACTTCAATCATAGGCCACGCAAGTGCCTTGCTTGCAGAGACGCCATCGGGTGAGATCTTCGGGCTTGATGTGTCCGAGCCACTGGTTGAGGTTTCACTAATGTCCGAAGCTTGAGCACGCTCCCGAATGAGAAATGGCTCAACTGATTGGTTCGGGCAAGGCTTGGGGCGAACTCGTTGAATTGAAAATTCCAGATGACCTAATACCTCTTTACGTGATTTTTGTGAATTGCCCTTAGTCATTCTTTTGAGTAAGGGAGTATGGCGATTATCTGATGATGAGTCGGATGAACTGGATCGAGGGATTGAGACATCCTGACTTTCAAGAAGAATGGGTCGAACAAGAGCACAGATAGCATGTTTATGAGCTTGGATCTTTTCTTTGTTGAGAATTCGTTTATTTTCTAGTTTAGATCGAAACGACTTTTTCGATGACTTTTGATCAAAGAGGTGAGGCAAGTTCTCAGTCTTGATGTGTATTGCCTCCTGCTGCAATAGATCGATGACCGGTAAGGAATGCGATTCGACTGCAATCAGAAGTGGTACAGAATGCTTTTGAGCGTCGAGTGCAAGTGAGAGTTTGTTGGGAGATGTGACCAGTATGGTGGGAACCGTTGGAGCTATCATTGAGCTCCTGCTCTCAAATTTCTTCGGTAGGAAAACTGGCGATAAGATGCTGATGATGATCCCTACACAACCTTGAAAGAAAGCAAGAACCAAGATGAAGACCCTACAAAGCAAGATGTGTAAATAGCGGACAACGACAGATTTCGGTGAAGCAGTAAGAAAACTTACCAGGTTGGTCCTCTCTGTGTGCCTGAGGCTGGATGGATGGATGAAAAGGTATTTTCTAGGATATGGAGTAGATGATTTAACTTTTTGTACATGGGCTCATGTTTCGGTGCCGGTTGAGATTGCAGTCCCGTTGTAACTTGTCCTTTTCCATTGTGATGCAGCTGGTGGCGAGAGTCTACTGGTAAAGCTGTCTTCTCTTGGTCGAACAGTTTCGGGGTAGCACTACCAGAATTCTTGAGACCCTTCACTGGAGTTGACATAGATCGATCCTTCGTACCGTGAGATACCCGGGATGACATAGGATTAGCTGTGTTGAAGGCATTATCAGCCAATTGCGATTGCTGTAAATCCTTGGTAGACTGGGTGGAGGATTGGGGTGAAGCCATGACAAATTATATATCACAAAATGTGTCTCGTGAGGAAAGTTGTATAAATCGATGCTGATAAGCTGAAAGGAAGTATCCGTTCGTTGAACAGGTGGAATAGAAAGTTGATGAAGTTGTGTTGTATGTACTGGGACTGAAGGCCAAGAAGATATCACGATAGCCTTTTAAGACCAATTGATTTGGCTTCTCCTCGCTCTGGTTGTCAGGGGCAGTTCGCCAATTCTGAAGAGCTTCCAGCTAGGTCGCGCAAGTCGGAGAACGAGACAACAACTCCTGAAGGAAGCCAAAAGACCCTGAATAAATAGACGAATGACACCAGTTCAAGCTTTTGTAAATGGAATTAAAGGAAATAAAAGGGTCTGATAACTCTGTCGCAAGTTTACGGGATAATCCGGTGATAGTTGTCTCAAGAGTCAAAGATGAAATGTGACATCTACACTACGATGAGTCACTGCTCCCTCAGATCCATCGAAAGGATATTGCTGTAGTGAAGGGGCGAGCGTAAAAACAAGCCAGAAGGGTTGGTCGTTCACAGTCAGAATCAACCGAAGAGTCTATTAATTTTGATTCATGGTGACTTTCTTCCACAGTCATCATACGTGATGTGTTGATCTAAAAATGCAAATCACGACCACTCGACTGAGCCGGGAGATCACCAACATCAACTATCGCGCCACGGCAAGAGAGAGAGAAAGTTGACATCATATACATGATGCATGCGACTTTCAATGCTCACGCAACTCATCAAAAGGTCACTTTTTGTCATTTCGGTCCACTTCATAGAGATTCAAATATTATGATCCGATAAGATAAGTTTGTTCGGAACCGAAGCTACAACAGGGTATAATACAATATTCTCTCATCAGAAGTGCAAAGCAAAATAAGTTGAAGGTTTGATGCCGAAATGCAAAAAGGGAAATGAATGCCTTGCTTAACAAAGCCCTCTCTGCGCCGCGCCCTCGCAGAGGGGCTTATGACTCATCGTTGATTTTTGACGTGAACACTCCACGGATTATGTGACCTTACGTAATTTTTTTGTTTTGCCGCTTCCTTTAAAGCAAACAGCACTTTACTGCACAGGGAAATACAGCCCTTTGCATAATTGATGACTTTGAAGAAAAAAAACCTCGAGTTTTCAAATAAAAAACCTCGAGTTTTCTCGAAAAGTGAGCGAGTTTTGTGAAAAAGCTGCTGAGTTTTTCAAAAAGTCAGTGAGTTTTTTTGGAAACCTGGCTCAGTCAACCCTGGGTCAGCTACGCAACGTCGCGCAACAAGCGCCCTCAACGTTGCGTAGCTCAAATGATTTTTAGACACAGTTTGCGTCGACGAAACGTTGCGGCAGAAAAAAAACACGATATATTCATTCCTGGTAGCGTAGTAGCAAAACCGCAACGTAACACAAGCTACCGCAACGCAACACAGTTAAAAAACTGAAACAGTAGATCATAGGCATATCAAGGGGATATTGAAGGGAATCATGTTTGAGTTAATGAAACAAAGGAACAGAAAGAAGAGTTTTGAATAAAATTTAAAAAAAACAAGAAGTTAAAAGAGATACTAATCCATCTCAACACCAAGCTTTTTAAAAGCAGCAACTAATTCAGCATAGTATTTACCCAAGTCCACACCTTCCCTTAACCACAGCCGACTCGAGACTAAGGACTCAATGGTCCGAGGAAGCAAGCTACCTCATTCTCCTGTGCACACGTCTTTGGCACAGGAGAAGATGCGCTCGGCAGCGCATGATGATGCAGTTGAAGCCAAGTAGTCCCTGGCCATCAATGCTAAGATTCGATAGTGTTTTTCATTGACCTGTGAGTAAGACATGAGTCAGCTTGTGAAGACAATATAAGCAGAAGAAGTATGACATACCCGCCACCAATCAAGGGCTGCATGAGGATCGGATACGTCGTAATCAGCAGAAGTCATCTTACGAGTCATACGCAAGTAGTCATCTACTTGAGTGTCTAATACTTCCTCGTTTTCGGACTCATCTTCACTATCTTGAGCAAAAATTATGGCCTTTGGAGAGGAACCATGGGAGTCGGTTGACTTCTGCGATACACGGACTGGATTTGAAGTCCTGACAGGGGCTGATTGCTCGTAGTCCCGGTAAATCAATTGAAAATCGGCTTCAGCTTTGATAGTGATGCTTGATCTGACACCGAACCACTTCTTGAAGAACTTGAGGCGGAAGAAGGGGTGTAAGAGAGTCGCCATGACGAGTGTTTGGCACGATAGAGCCTCGTTGAGATATTCTTCCGTCTTCTCTCTCATCTTAGCGAGCATGGGATACATAGCATCGGATGCTGACAATCGTTCGATCTTCTGGTCGAGTGTATGGCGAAGTTCAACGTACTGGGGGATAACCATGCACCCAGTGGGCCCATCGCCCTCCATCTTCAACGTCATCTTGAGGAAAGGCTGTGCTAATGATTGATTAGCCTGATGATATGCTCAGTTGGTGGATTACGAGACTACATACCTCAAGCTCGTTGTTAACCTTATGTACCTGAGCCCATTCAGATGTAGACATCTCCATTTCGTGGAAGTAGCCATAGGGCTTGCCATTCTTGCGCGGAGGTCGATTCTTCGCGTGGACCACATCCAAATCGTCTTTACAAAGTTGATCGATTACCTGAAGTGACATTTAACATTGATAAGTAGTGGATAATGAGATATCAATGCCCAAAAATTACTTACGTCTCTAGCAAGCCATGCCTTGTTTCAACTCTCGTACTTGATGTTCCAGCGAATGCCGTAACCAGCAATCAGGGAACCTTTAAAACCTTTGGACTTGCTCACACGTTCAAACTCTTTGCGCCAAGCCGCTGATCGAGTTATGCGTCGAGTTAAGAAGTCAACCTGGTTTGATACATACAAAAGGTATAAGTTGTTGGAACATGAAATGTAATCAGAGGAAGTGATGCATAAAAAAAGATAACTTCTTACTTTGCGTAGTATGAAGTCAGTATTGTTAGCTTCTCTTCGGTGGGTAGGTGCCACTTCGTTTTCCAATGCAAGCTGAGGACACACCTCATCCTCAGCGTCCGCATTATCCCACTCGCCTTCGTCATCTAGATCAACTACAGGAGTAATGTCGTCTGTAAGTTCCTGAGGATCATGTTCGTCGTGGTCACTGTCTTCGTTGTTGATGTCTGATTGTTTTGAAGGTGCCAAACTTTCAATCACTTCAACCTCGTCCTCTTCTTCTTCAACGATGGAACCGATGCTGGGGAAAGAACCACGTCCTGCCGACTTGGCTTTGATCGGAGGTGGAGCTTTGACACCAAGTTCAGCCAAACCCGCATTAACAATAAGAGCTAGTTTATGACAAAAACAAAAAATGTGCATCGAGGTAGGGTTCCACTTGTAACCACTGGTGTCGGCCTGTTCAAGGAACTGTCGGTGCATTTCAACCGCCATAGTTTTGTTGTTTGAGCCGGAGTCTGTAGTCTGGCGCAACATGTGAGATAACAAAGAAAAAGATGTCAGTACACGGGTTTAGATGTTGAAGAGAGAGAAAAGGACTAATCTTTTGAAACAATTGATGTTTGGTGAGAAGATGCACCATCGGTTCAGCAAGCCATGGTCCGTGGTGATGCCATTGGATGACCTTAAGACTCAAGTGACGAAGGCGATACTTCCAACTCTCGTCAACGAAAGTCACGGATGCGCCGATGAATGCGTGGCGATTTCCCTTCGTCGTCCAGCCGTCGTGAACAAGATTGAAACGAGAGGTGAGATTCTAGAAACAACAAGATCAGTCATTGATTTTCAAAGATCGATTGAAAATTTGATGAGACTTGCCTTCAATTCAGCAAATACTGAAGTTTTCAACCCAGCATTCATGCTCTTTGCTTCATCAGCTACCCATCGACGACCATACAAGTTACACTGTAAACATCATTCAACTTCCCCAATTTGGCAGAGGAAAATGATTAATAGTACAGTTTTTCATAAAAGAATCTAATACTGCACACCTGGGCCATTTCACCCACACTACATATGTGCAGCAAGCTAAGTCAATAGTTGTCTATCATGTACATACAGGTCTGCTCAGTTTTTTGCCCATCAGAATAAATAAATCACATGTTATACCACATGTAACTTTTTTGACTTTGAAATTTTTTTCCCAAAAATTCACTACATATAATTCTGTAGCTGCTCAGGCAATATTGTTGAAGCTATGTCTTAGTAACAGAAAGTGTGTTACATGCAGTTGAGTTGATGAGATCACACCAAAACATTGAGTCAGTGTATGTAGTCAATCTTTTGGAAGCTTTTTTCAATCTGAAAGAAGTTACAGCATGTATTACATATGAATAACTTGTCCTGATGAGCAGATAACTGAGCAGAACTGTATGTACATGATAACCACATATTCACTGAGCCTGCTACACATATGTAGTGTGGGTGTTATGGCTCAGGTGTGGAGTGATAGACCATTTTATGACAAATCATACTCCCAATCATTTTTCCCTGCCCACTTGGGGAACCCAAATAATGTCTGCAGTGTTAGCCTCCTTACGAAGGTACCAAACCATTCCCCGGAGGATTGGGTCTTGAACTCGGTTCCATGGTTGTGCCTGCCTGATGAGCCAGGCACAAGCCATCTGGTTGAGGATGAGGTTCGAGAATGGCACCTGTGGGGTGGCTGTGACAAAAGCGTTGAGAGTCCCACCTGCCTTCTTACGTACCTCAGCAACAGATAAAGGTATACCAAGAGACGGGTCAGTTTGGCGAGCCTTATTACGACCTGGGCAGCCCACATCGGATCGGCCGGATTGAGTCGATCCGTCTCGATGTACTTTGAGGTTCCCAGTCAAGTTGCTATAACTGACTCGGACAGGATAGGAGTCCCCCCTGTGAGAGCACCAACGGCAGGCGTAGCTGAGCGCGGGCTTTGATTTGTCCTTTTGAGAGCAGAAAACAAAACAAAATTAAGATTCTTAGGTGATAGAAGTTATAAAAAGATAATAACCTCAATAACTCACATC